AGAGCAATGGGGTCATCTGTTTCATACAGTATCCCACATTCTGGATTGGCTGGTTGCTTTCTTGTGGTGTCATTTAACTTGTTTTGTACTTCTCACTAGATTCTGGTTCCTTGAGGCAAGAATCATTCGCAGGTGGTGCTGTGTGTTTCCTACTGCATTCCATCCTGGATGAGCCATATGAATGCTGGCCCAGAGGAATCAAAGTGTCAGAGTGAACCTCCTCTTGTCTCCATTTTATCTGTCATCTCACACCCGGCATTAGAAATTACAATTCATCAATCAGCGTGATGAACATTAGCATTTGACCATAAGTCATGAGGATTTCTAAAATAGGAAGTGACTTATAATTAGCAAATTATCTCTGACTCAGAAGATTGGCACATAGGGAAACAGAGCAGGTTTTGAGGTCATTGAAGGAGCCAGTTAGAGCAAGGCTCCCATCTGGACATGGACAGATCTCTGGGGCTGAGTGTCCTATAAAGCACAGGTACAAATTTATGCTGTGGTGTGTACATTCACTTTCTTCTGAACTGGAACCCATGGCTTTCTTCAGAGTCTCAAAGAAATAAATAACTTTCCGAAAAGACAAAGAGCCTAGGGATTAGAAGCCTGAAAAATAAAGCTTGGAAGGAACTGGCTTTGCTTCAGCTTGCCCAGATATTCACTCCCAATGCTGCAGGAAGCCTCCCATATACCACATGGGGGGAGGGAAGGGGACCTCATATCATCCGAAACTGAACTCATTACATTTCATGCCCCACCCTCTTCTTCCCATGCTCAGGGAGGAAGGGGCATTATCATTTTCCCAGGTTGGGGTGCAATGGTGCGATATTGGCTGACTACAACCTCTGCCTCCCAGGTTCAAGTGATTCTCCTGCCTCTGCCTCCCATGTAGCTGGGATTACAGGCGTGTGCCACCACATCCAGCTAATTTTGTATTTTTAATAGAGAAATGGTTTCACCATGTTGGTCAGGCTAGTCTGAACTCCTGACCTCAAGTGATCCACCCTCCTCAGCCTCCCAAAGTGCTGGGATTACAGGCGTTAGCCACCGTACCCGGCCTCATATCCAAACTTTTAAGTGTATCACCAAAATGTCTCTCTCAAATCCATCCCTCTCCCTCCCGTTCTGCTGCTCTAGCTTGGGCTGGAAACTCCTTCATCCCTTTTTCCAACCCACTTTTTGCTGTATCTTTATTAGTGACCTACGCCTGTAAATCATGGGCCTGGACATGCTTTTCCTCTAATTAAGACTTCTTGGTGGCTTTGTGTTGCTCCCAAAGCCCAAAGCAGGGTGCATGCCGCCAGGAGGTGCAGGAACAAAATAGAACACCTCTGAGTTTATTTTTTCATCTTAAAAATTATGATATAAACCACATGTTGCTAATATTTGGTATATAAGTTGACAGCGTCTATGGGTCACTGTCACTGTATGCTTTACTTAGCTCAGAGAAGGGTCCCAGAGGCACCTTCACTCATTCATTCATTCATTCATTCATTCATTCATTCAGAAATGATGCAGATGTGCCACCTACAAACTCTATTATCTGCACACTTAAACTTGCAAACCAAATTTTCTAGTCAGCTTAAAAATTACCCAAATGAAGAGTTTCAAGAGATTTTGAACCCATTTGTTGAGAATTTCAACTTATCTTTATAACTTCCCAACTAACTGACATCAAAGAAGATAGGAATTTACTAGCTGAGTTTCAACAAAAACTTCTTCATACTTGATAACTGACAATGAAATATGATTCACCATGAAATAGCAGATACACCCAGTGATTTTTTTTCTACATATCTTCTATTTTTTTTCTATTTTTTATATTTTCTTGAGGTGTCTTTTTCAGCCCTGACAGTCATTATCAAGGATTACAATAAAAAGAACTTAGAATAATTTTGGAATGGCTTTCTCACAAAGTGATAGACTTTTTTTTTGATAAAGCATATTAACTAATCTTTTACTATTTCTTATTGAGGTTAAAATATACTTTTACCATTAATAAAAATAATTATTTTAAAATATTACCTACTTCATCTGTATCTCATTGTTTTAAAATTCCTCTATTTGGTGATTTTTAAAGTTTTAAATAATAGTACATTATAATTGATTTGAAATAACTCATATTTTGTAAAATTATGCTCAAAAAATGTTTTTAAAGATGGTATGAGATCAAAAGGATTTGGGACTGGGCGTGGAGGTTCATGCCTATAATCCCAGCACTTTGGGAGGCGGAGGTGGGCAGATCACTTGAGACCAAGAGTTAAAAACCAGCCTGGCCATCATGAAGAAACCCTGTCTCTACTAAAAATACAAAAATTAGCCAGGTTTGGTGATGGGCACCTGTAATTCCAGCTACTCAGGAGGCTGAGGCAGGAGAAGGCAGAGGCTGCAGTGAGCCAAAATGTCACTGCTGCACTCTGGGTGACAGAGACTCCACCTCAAAACAACAAATAAAAAAAGGATTTGGAGTCCAATTCCCAATATGATATGCAATGCTTTTTAGAATAAACCGAGTTAAGTATTCATTCTCGCCTTCACACACACACATATACATATTATGGCTTCCTAGTCTCTCTAGAATGGGACACCTTTCTGGTCTTAGGACTCCTTCACAGTCTTAAAAATTATTCAAGACTCTAGAGAGCTTTTGTTTATATGTGTTTTTATTTGTTTATATTTACCATTTTAGAAATTAAAACTGAGAAAAATGTCACCGCCAGAATTCACAAGCAAGCAATCTTAGCTTCCAGAATGTTGACATCACGACATGACATGGAGCCTCTGGAAAACTCCACTGTATACTCCCTATCCCCTTTTTGCCATCCTCTCTTCTCTCCCTTCATCAGAACCTGGTAGAGTTTGTGCCTTCTGCCCTGCATTCTCCCAGATATCATGGAAAGAACATGACATTTTGTATAAGAAATATTTCGGTTCAAATGCCAGCTCCGTTACCCATGAGTTATTGAGCCTTGAGCAAGTTGCCTCATGTCTCTGAGTCGCAGTTTCCTCATCTGTAAAATGTTCATTAAACGCTTTCAAACATATATCAAGGAATTTTCCCCCTTACCCCACCAGATAATGCTCTTTTTATCGATAACCCAGCTAAGGGTTCTCAATCCTGGGGATCAGCCAGGAGGGCTTTTAAGTGATGCCAATGCACAGAGATTCCCAGCTTTAATTGGCCTGTGATGGCTGTCTTGGGTATTTCCTTTTTTTAAATTCCAGTGAATCTAACATGCAGCCAGGGTTTGGAATTGCTAGTAGCCAAAAGAGTACTGTTTTCAAAGAGCAACTGAGGGAAAGCGAATAAAATTACAGTGTGTACCTGGGGTATTACAAGAGGGCAGGCACCTTCTTCTGCAGGTGACCAGCTTGTCATGTGCACATGCACTAGGTGGCATTTATTACCATTGTGAATCCATTTTAGTATAGAAGTGCCATAAAAACTTAGTGTCCCAGAGAAAATATCATATTAGCCAAGATCAAAGATATGCTGCTCCCGATACTGATTATTTTCATAAGATCCACTGATTATCAAAAAGGTACAAACACTGTATTCTCCAGTCAGTGACACCCCTCCTTAGAGGCACACTCCATAGCAATGCTTATTATCAGGGTGCCTGATAAGCCTGGAGTCAGACTGAGGGGAGCTAGGGACTGTCTGTGCGATTGAAGCATCCTTCTGCATATTGGGCTATATCCATCTCCATGTCCCCATAGAGTGAGTCTTCTCTCCTTACTCGGCAACAGTCCTTCAGGATACTGTCTCCACATACATGGCTTGATGAGTCCTGCCAACGTCTCTGCCTTTGAAACTCTGCCTGTTCTCTGTGTCACCACCCCCACCTTCTGATTGGCCCACTTTCTTCTAATCCTGGTCAACACTTTCAATTTTAAGCCATAGTCTGTCTCTTCTGGCGACTCCATACCTATCTGAACTGGTTTATTATTTAACTCCCAGAGAAAAATCTATTTCCAAGGTATTACCTCCAGTTACTATCCAAAACCTTGAGTTAGAAGTCAGCAATCTGGGAAATCCTTAGAGTTTGTTGGAGTAAGATTTGGCATGTAGAGTTTCAATTATTATTGGAATACTTTATTATAGTAAGAAGGACATCCAGCTGTTGTCAGACTACACAAGAATCAAAACAAGAGGAGATACGATTTACAGCCTGAAGAAGCACAGCAAACAAGCAGGAATTTCCTATGTTGGGGTCCGCGTGTTTCCTAAACAAAGGAATGAACACACAAGACAACATAAGACAAGACAAACATGGCGGCCACCCTCTTCCTTTGTTTAGGAAACACGCGGACCCCAACATGTTTTAAAGGCAGAGGGTGAGTGGATGGGACAGTGCAAGAGAGATTTATTCTACTTCTTTCTTTAGTCATTTCATATTAGGAATCCAAGCTTTTTTATTTTTTGAGATAGGGTCTTGTTCTTGTTGCCCAGGCTGGAGTACAGGCGCTTGATCATGACTCACTGCAACCTCCACCTCCTGGGTTCAAGCTTTTTGCCTGCCTCAGCCTCCCTAGTAGCTGAGATTACAGGCACCTGCCACCATGCCCAGCTAATTTTTGTATTTTTAGTAGAGGTGAGGTTTCACCACGTTGGCCAGGTTGGTCTCGAACTCCTGACCTCAAATGATTGGCCCACCTTAGCCTTGGTGCTGGGATTACAGGAATGAGCCACCGTGCCCAGCCATCATGTTTCTTAATATTAGTATGTAGAGGACTACGTGCTCGCAAACGAGGCATTCCCGATAAGTCCTGCTCTTGCAAACGAAGCAGGGCGTTCCCAATAAGTCCTGCTCTTGCAAACGAAGCAGGGCGTTGGGGGCTTGTTTATGTGTAAACATCTTGAAAATCCAGAAAGTCAGGGAAAGGTCAGAAAAACAACAATGTGTCTTGTGACTTGGCAACATTCCACAAACGACTGTATAAAATAAAGCAGAGTGCGCCATTCGAGGCGGCCGCCATGTTTGTCTTGTCTTGTGTTGTCTTGTGTGTTCATTCCTTTGTTTAGGAAACACGCGGACCCCAACAAAAACACACTTATCTTATGAATGTTCTATTATCTTCCCAGTCCTATGATTCAGTGAACTTCTGCTCTGATTTTAGGGACCTGGACTTCATTCAAAGACCTGCCGGTGAAATCCTTCAGATCCTGGCTGTTCCATGCCTCTTCACACCAACAGTTTCATGAAGGTGAGATTAATTAACATACTGGTTGAATACTGAACTAGCTTACTGAATATGCTTCTCTGGGAATTCCAGTTTTATAGATTTTCCAGTAGAATAATGAGTCAGAAAATAGGAAGTAGCTAGTACTCAACACTTTTCATGATCATCTTTAGAAAACATAAACTTTTAAGTGACTTAAATTTAAGTTTAGAAAACTGAAAAGTCTGCTGGTAGTTTTATCCATTCTTGAGGGTTTAAAGATATCAACAAGTTTGTGACTCTTAAAGTAGATACTTTAAGAACAGTTAACACAGGTATTAAAAAGGAAGTCTTTTTTTTTTTTTTTTGGCAGTGAAAAAAAAATAACAAAAAAAACCAAAACAGGAGTAGTTTCAAAGAATAGAGAGGAAATTGTTGACACAGAGGCCTCTGACTCCACAAGAGGCTCGACCCCATTGACCCAGCACAAGCTATACATGTCCTCAGAGGCAGCAAAATCATTTGTGGGTCTGTGAAAACTGTACTATAATTATTTAACCACCGAGTTTAGAAACATATTGCTTAAACCAACTTTAAGCTTCTTTTGTTATCTATGTAGGATTTTGTATTTTTAAGAAAAGAACAGCTTGATATTTCACGTCTGAACAAAACACACGAATGTCTCTTCCAATCTAAAAGTATATGAAAGAAAATACCTGATTGTCAGAGAATTTGTTAACAGATGTTATAATAATATAGCATGCATATATTCCAAGCCATCAGTAAAAGTTAGATTATTAATTATTTAATATAAATGAAAATGAAATGAAATGTGCAGAGAAAATTTTAATGAAAAAATTTTAATTAACCAAAAAAAGAGAAGAAGGGTAGAGAGTATTCATTTGGAACCTTTTGAATCTGTCTAGTACACCATTGCCCATGCACCAGATTACTCCTCACCTGGTGCACCCCAAAAGCTCCATAACTAGTCCTCTTACTTTCAGTCATAGGCCCTCCAAACCACCCGCCAAAATGCAGCCAGTGGGATCTTTCTAAATATCCGTCTAATCATATTCTCCTCCTGGGGCCATGGAACACCCTAGATCTGAAGGATTTCAGGGACAAAGACCTGAATGAAGTCCAGGTCTCTAAACTCTGATCAGAATTCCACTGACCGTAAGACTTATTTTTAACGGCCCTCAATAGATTTCCAAAGTCCAAGTTCCTTAATGTGGCTCACAAGGCCTTTTGGTGATATGTGGGCCAATGGCTCTCTGCCTCTATTCATACCCACAGAGAATCCAGGAATGCCCTGAGTCCTCCATCCAGAGCCTGATTCTGCCATTCCCACCACTGCACCACCTTTATTCCTTAGCCAAGCCCTATGCATCCTTCATGACTCAACTCTAGAGTCCTTTAATCCAAGAAGCAGGTGGTCTCACACTCTCCAATCTGATTTAACTGCATTTCCTAGGTACTTCCTTGAAACCTGTGTACTTTCTGTCATGATTTTATAATTATTGGTTAATGTTTATCATACATGTGAATTTCTTAAAGTAGAGGAACTTGATTTTTCTGTGTCTCAAATGCTTAACCATATGTCTGACACAGTATGGTCTTTCTCTAAAAGTGAATATTGAGACAATGTTTGAGATGTAAGATATTTTTTAGGGATCAGAATTTCATCTTTTGCCCAGTGTCTGCCCTCTGTACCTCCAACCATGGGATCAAAAAAAGTTTAAATATGAGTAGTTTCTCTTGTGGTGATCACCACTAATATACCTCATTAGAAGGCATGTCACCATTGAATCAAACATTAATGAAGCATGTCAGTCTGAATTTGCATGATGTACAAATATTTTTGTAATTTTTTTAGAAGTCCAACTTTGTTATAAAGAGGAGGTGTTCGCATAGGATTTTTTCATCAAGGTAGTGCTTTAATTGCTAATAGCTAGTTGATCCATACAAAACAACTCTAGAATTAAAGAGTGACATTTTGAAGATTTCCTTTTTTCCCTCGCTCAGGATATTCGGTTCTTCATTTGCTCCAAAATATCTCATCCTCCTCCCACCCAAATTTATTTTTTATGTTCCCTTTTAACAACATTTACTGAGTGCCTCTTATATTGCAAGCATTGAAGATGCAAAAGTAAATAGGACACATCCATGCCTTGAAGAGCTCCCATCCAGAGAAACAAAAGTAAATGTAGCCGTGCGCAATGGCTCATGCCTGTAATATTAACAGTTTGGGAGGCCAAGGCAGGAGGATCACGTGAAATTAGGAGTTTGAGACCAGCCTGACCAACATGATAAAACCCAGTCTCTACTAAAAATACAAAAATTACCCAGGTGTGGTGGTGCAGGCCTGTAATCCCAGCTACTCAGGAGGCTGAGGCACCAGAATCTCTTGAACTCAAGAGGCGGAGGCTGCGGTGAGCTGAGATTCTTGACACTGTACTCCAGCCTGGGCAACACAGCCAGACTCTGTCTCAAAAAAAAATAATAAAATAAATGTAAAAATGACAAAATCATGGGGAAAATATGATAATCAGTTGAAACTAGACTGGGGGAAAACTATACCATGTTAGAAATTCTAAGCGGGAAAGGATTTTTCATAGGAAATGAGATGCTAAGATAACTGATAGACTCTTGCTGGGCAAGAGAAGCTCAGGATAAATTGCTGATGATTTTCAAAAGTATGAAAATTCAGGAATTACATTTGACGACATTTTCTTCCTGCCTACATCCACTACCTACAGCTGTCACCAGAAGATAATGGTTTCTCCTTCTCCTTTGCTTTCCAAATCTCTGGTGATTTTTTCTTGGAGGTGATGTTTTCTTGGGGGTGAGCTTTAAACAAGAACTCTGCTAGAAACACAGGTCAGGCAATGCTGTTTCCAAGTTTTCAGCCCCAACAGAGAAAGGGAAGCTGAGAAGTGCTCTTGAAGGTGGTGGCACCTAACACTGCTATGTACTATGTATATTGGGGTGGGTGACTTCTCTACTCTGAAGTAGCCAAGCCGACTTTCAGTCTGCAGAAAGGCTATAGGATGTGTATTCCAAAATAGCTAGAAGAGATTTGAAATGCTCCTAGCACAAATAAATGATAACTACATGAGGTCACAGATATCTTAATTATTCTGACTGGATCACTACACATTGTATGCATGTATCAAATTATCACATGTAGCACAGATATATGTACAATTATGTTTCAATATAAAAATTAAATTCTTTTAAAAAAGAGATCCCACACAGAGCTTTCCCTTTGATAGGTCTATGCCTAGCTAAGAAACATATTCTCACATTGCTCAAAGGTCCTTTACATCTACTGATTTTTTTTTTTTTTTTTTTTTTTTTTGACATGGAGTGTCACTCTATGGTGTAGGCTGGAGTGCAGTGACGTGATCTCGGCTCACTGCAACCTCTGCCTCCCGGGTTCAAGTAATTATCGTGCCTCATCCTCTCAAGTAGTTGGGATACAGGCATGCACCACCACACCCGGCTAGCTTTTTTTTTTAATTTACTTATTTTTTTTTTTTAGTAGAGTCCGTGTTTCACCCCTTTGGCCAGGCTGGTCTCGAACTCCTGAACTCAGGTGATCCACCTGCCTCGAGGCCAAGCAGGAGAGGATTCAATCGTGAATAGGAGCTTTGAGACCAGCACTGACCAACATGATTAAAAACCCCAGTCTCTACTAAAATACAGAAATTAACCCAGGTTGGTGGTCGGTGCAGGCCTGATCAAAAATTTTTTTTTTCCCCCGCGCCAGGTACGTCAGGGGCTGATGGCCCCAGGGATCTCTTGAAAACTCAAGAGGCGGAGCTGCGGTGAGCTGACGATTCTTCTGACACATGTACTCCAGGCCTGGGGCAAAACACAGCCAGACTCTGTCTCAAAAAAAAAAAATATAAAATAAATGTAAAAATGACAAAAATCATGGGGGAACAATATGATAATCCAGTTGAAACTAGGACTGGGGGAAAACCTATACCATGTTAGAAAATTCTAAGCGGGGAAAGGGATTTTCACTGGAAATGGAGCTAAGATAAACTGATAGACTCTTGCTGGGCAAGGAGAAGCTCAGAGGATAATTGTGATGATTTTCAACAGGTGTATTGAACATTCAGGAAATTACATTTGACGACATTTTCTTCCTGCCTTACATCCATCATACCTACAGCTGTCACCGAGAAGATAGCATGGTTTTCTTCCTTCTCTTTTGCTTTCCCAAATCTTCTGAGTGGATTTTTTTTCTTTGGAGTGATGTTTCTTGGGGTGGAGTTTAAACATGAACTCTGCTAGAAACACAGGTCAGGGCGAATGGCTGTTTCCAGTTGTCAGCCCCAGAGACAAGGGGAAGCTGAGAAGTGCTCTGAGGTGGGTGGCACTAACACTGCTATGTACTGATGTATATGTGGGGGTGACTTCTTCATACTCTTGGAAGTAGCCAAGCCGACTTTCAGTCTGCAGAAAAAGGGCTTATAGGATGTGTATTCCAAATAGCTAGAAGAGATTTGAATGCCTCTAGCACAAATAAATGATAACTACATGAGGTTCACAGATATCTTAATTATTCTGGGACTGGATCACTACACATTGTATGGCATTGATCAAATTTCAACATGTAGCACGTATATGTACAATTATGTTTCGTAATTATAAAAGTTAAATTCTTTAAAAAAAGAAGATCCCACAAGAGAAGGCTTTCCTCTGATAGGGGGTTCTATGCCTACAGCTAAGAAACAATATTTCTCACATTGCTCAAAGGGTCCCTTTACATCTTACTGATTTTTTGTTTTTTTTTTTTTTTTTTTGGAGACAGATCCAACTCTGTTGGCCCAGGCTGGAGTGTTGGAATGGCGTGATCTTCAGCTCGACTTGCACCTTCTGCCTCCTGGGTTCAAGCATTTCTTTGCCTCAAGCTCTTTCCAAAAGGTAGCTGAGATTTAAT